GTTTTAATGTTGTTAACTTGACGAATAACTAGCGTATTAAGTATTAATATATAATATATATATATCATTATTGGTGTGTAATTTTCATTTATATGATAAGTGATATAATGAATGTTAATTTGTTATCAAATAGTAGATTGTGGTTTGTTTTCACTAATTAGGAGRGTTTGGTTGTCACATGTGTGTTAACGCCCAAAATAAATATGTTTACATTTGTTAGGTTTAGTTTTATTGTTGTTTTTTTTTATAGATTTATTTATTTTTGTATTTAGTTATTATAAATCTGACATTGACAACTAAAAGATGTTGTTCACCATTTGATTTACCTGAGACAACTAATACCGCGATGATGTGACAACTGACAGTCAATCCTGAATCTGCACGYAGGTTGTCACAAATTCTTTTTTATTTTTAAATTAAAAAATGTATTCTGACTTAACATTAATGTTTGGTTTATTTAAAGATGGTATTTTAAATAATGTGACAATCGTCATTCGAAAAAAATGATTTGTCACTAAATAAAAACAAATAAATAAAAAACTGAGGCAATTAGCCTAAGTCTATCCTGCGCCTACTTTATCTATTTTTTTATATTATGTGGAATAATGATTATTTAATTATTAATTATCCAACGATTTTATCATTATATCTCTGTCCATACTAAGTAATATCGTTAGAAATATAATTACGTCATGTCATTATCTTTACTTACACGTTATACGTGCACGCTTCCTTTCCGATTTTAAGTAATAATAACTTATGCAATTATGCTTATGCTCAATTTATAAAATAAAAAAACTTCTAAAAAATTGTGTCTACCTACTAAATACAGATGAGAAGCAAGGCTAAGATGATAGTGTGTGGTATATGTCTACCGCTTTATTATAAACATAAATATCATTAATTTAATAATAATAATAATAATATATCATCTATAACCATTAATAATGATATAATAATACTATTATACGTATAATATATTAATATCCCCTCCATCGTATTTAATCATATCGACACTTTATTCTGTGTGTAATATGTTTCCCCTTAGGTACCATAAATTCATTTCCACCGGAGAGGTCGCGTCGTCGATGACGAGGTCGTGTACATCACATATATAYCGGAACGTTTTTATATCTTCCAATAAGAACTTCCGCAGCTCATTATATTATATTCTATATCGAATTATCGTGAATAAAATGTACACTGCAGGTGTGTATTATTGTATGCGCAACTGAAATCGTGTATTTGTGTTTTCATATTACATTACTATTTTTATCGTCAACGGATAAAACTAAGAATTTACTCATCTCGAAGAGTGAATACTGATTTTTAAAGACTTTTCGAGTCCGTGAACATAATATGTTTATAGTATAAATTATTGTTATTAGATATACCTACATAAATTATGTGATAAATTATTCTATTGTATTGTCTCTCAAAATTCTCGTGACTGTTGRAAAATCCTCATGATATTATAGTTACTCAAGTCTAAGGTAATCTTTATTAGCCATTATAGTAAAAAATAATTCCATACGTGGGAGAACGTTCGACGCATTAAAGTAAAGGTCGGCACATTGACTTTAATTATTTTCTGAATTGAAGAATTAAAGAATGATTATTATTTATCATTCATTCAATTCATTCAAAATATTCATTAAAACATGAAAATATTGGAAAACGAATATTAGGTACTCGTTTTAGTATGTTTGTTGTGACACAATTAAATCTTACCATATTTGTGTTTCCATMCACAAGATAATTCWTTTTAAGTATTAAYAGTTAACACTAATATTTTTGAAAACTGAAAATTAGATATTCTTATATAAATGTACTAAGTTCTCAGAAAAATATTCTGCATTGATRTATGAAATTAAAAAAATTCAAATGTGAAAATTATACACTGCAATTTAAAAAGTAAAAATACAAAAAGTAAAATGAATAATTTTTTTCCAAAAATGTCGTTTCGTAAATACTTAAAAAAAATTAAAAAAATTATTTGTGCTAATAAGTAATAAAGTTAAAAATGATCCATGAATAATTATAGTCGATGAGCCATCAATTATCTATTATTATTATTACCTACCAAGATACCTAATAAAATAATAACTAATATAGTCGCACTAGTATTTAAAATCAAYGATAACACCTAATATCGGCAAGCAAGCTTTTACCTGAATCATACCAAAAGGCTTACTTTATTTTTAGTTCAACATTGTTCTATTTTGTCATCTTCTATTAAATATATTTACGAGATATTTTTTTCTTATATTAAGATTCTTTGATAAGATCTATATTTGACTATTATGTTGTACATTGAATTTAAGAAGGCATATAACATATCATGGACATGTAGCCTATAGATACAGGTGTAGGACTCTTGGGTCGTTCACTCACCCYAACGCACAACACTGTTTTATCTGTTTATAATAATAATATTAATTTGACGAATMAATGTATTAAAAAACCGACTGAGTGGAGCTCAGATAAAATCGAAGTTCTTTAAATTCCTAAAATGTTTTTGTATAGTTCATTTATAGTTTATTTTTTTATAACATATCATACCAAAAAATCATAAAGTTACTTTACTAAATCACTGAGAAACATCACTTCGTTATCTTCTATGTGCTATGCAGTACTTGAAACTTTTCTATATTATTATACTATTTTAAATTGTGTCCGCACGTAAGAAATATCGATGAGTATGTAAATATGACTTGAGTACATATTTTTTGAGACTTAACTATTGAATTGTTTTAGGTAAGTATCTATTTGCCAATTTTCAGGTATTATAAAAATGCTATTCATAATTATTCAAGTGTCAACCAATAATATAATTTTACTAGCACAATCTTACACGGTTCAATTATACAATATTTACCATGGTGACTTGCTGTAGACCTCGATGGTTATTTTTTGATTTTACGTTTACTGCACCGTGAATAGTTTTTGAATTTAATAGTCTGACTTATGAAAGGTCATTTAGTCTTATTTAAATTTTCAACGTTGAATTTGTGTAAAGTACTAGGTGATTTGAGATTTAGTGGAAAAACAATGCTGAGATAAAAAGATGGGAAATGGCTATAGATGAGTTACAATAATTAACAAATGAAAGTTTATTCATCCATATAAATTATAACTATTACCACGTTCTAAATAATTATCACGGTATAAGTATACAATGGAACTAATTAATAAAACAAATTATAGCATTAAGGCATCAATTGGTATTTGGTTGATCAGTGGTTTCGTTGTATTAATTAGTCAATTAATATAATCACCTACATTTAACCAAATAATAACTCTACATATTTGTAGTAACTATATTTATTTATTTTTAAACCTATAATTAATGTTAACATTTAATGTTTGTTAAAAAACTTTAATCTGTATCATATAATATTATGATTAGGTATATTAGATATATGTAAACTCAGAGGTAAAAAAACGTTATTAAAAGGAAATATAAATTTCGAAAGACGTATAGATTTAATGTTTCTTATTATGTACCTAATCTTATATCATGTTGAATGTTGATACAGGACWAACTATAAAAAGAGATTCTTTGATTTTGGTTATCAACTGTTTATTGGAGTTTAAGTATTGTAACATTTTTGTCAGTAATAATAAATTAAGTTGTCTTTGGTTTTAAGTTGGAGTTAATAAAACAGAAAATATATTGCATTAATAAAAGAAACTCGTGAGGTAGTCAACCTGACATATTTTTGTGAGAAATTACTGGAATCATGAATATGATTAACTGCATATTATAATTAATTAGTTTTATATAATAAATTTGTATAATATTWTAATATAAACTGTGATGTTTTTGAGCTAAATTACCAGAGCCATCATTAGGTTTAAACGGATATTTATAAGAGATTTACTTGAAAATGCGTCCGTAAATTATTGTCATAAAATCCAATAGAAAATGACCCAAATTATATCTCTTAACTAAGGTTTTAGTATTGGTGTAGGTAATAGTAGTTTTGTTTCGAAATTTAGTAATTATGAATACGAAGTTGTGTTTCGACATAATCGATAAGTACTCGAGTAAGGTCAAATTTGTATTGATATAATATACTCTTCAAAAATATGTTAACCGTTCCGTAAACATGCGTTTCGCAGCGTTTTCCTTATTCCGAATGAATGTACAAATATTTAAAAAGTTGTTGAAGTAAAATAAACAAGATATTTTAATATCCTGACAAGACTTGGACTTGGTTGGAGAAAATCACGATTGCTTAATCCACATAAAAGATAATATTATTGAGGATTTTGGTATATGGATGTAAGACTTATGTCTGGTAGTTCGTCTAACAGAGCATGACATAAGTTTCAGATCATTTTACATAATATATGAAATATGACGCTATTCAGACTTTCTTAGATTTGCGTTCCGCGTGGTAGCTACTCCTTAATGTCACGATATTATATTTGTGAGTTTTGGATTCAATATGTTTGTACTGTAATCATATTTAGCTGCATTGAAACGGCAAGAGGCAAATAAATAAAACTAACTGTTCTCCAGAAATGCTCAAAATTACTTGTGTCAATGGAAAGCTCGGTGTTTGATGTTTTATACTCAGGTAACCCAAGTGGTTTAAAACCAAGAAAATCTGATGATATTAGTAATTACCTCACAGTTTATTTTAAATTACTTTTATTAAGATAAATAGTAATTTATTCAAATCGTTAGTTATAATGCAAGTTTGAATATAATTTTATAATTATAACTTATGCGATTAATACGAAAGTATTTAATTATAATATGTTGTTTTTGAAAAATACTTGAAATATTTACTTTGTTTGAAATACTAAAATACATTAAACTTGACAAAATKATAAAAGTTTTTTCTCAGTAAAAATGTTAAATTAAGCTGTATAAGTTATGCAAATTTAATAATTAAGAATATTATTTTCAATTTATGTATTAGTTGTACCAAAGTATTTTATGATTTCTAGTTTTCTAGTTTTCAAATATTAGTTAAATAGGTACTTACGGATACGACGATAGTCAGAAACATTAACATTTTGCAAAGRCCACGTTTGATGTTTGATATTGTTACTTTTATAGTCACCTGCGGTTATAAAAAATAAATTAATCAATAGTTAGTCTTAAAAAAAATATAATAAAACGTTCAAAATCAACAGTTGTAGCTTATATTTATATTTATGTTATATTGCTCGCGCCGAGGTTCCTGAACGTTTGAACTGGAAAAAATAATGAAAAAATACCATCATAGAAGAAGATTGTGACAATGTGTTTGTGTGCATCAAAAGAACGTACAACTCAAGGCCGTTTACCATCGACCTTCAACTCGATCAAGCAAAAATTGAAAAACATCAGCAACTGCACTGGAGGAGGGGGATAACTCTATAGCCCTTGGCTGAACGTCTGCTGCTGCATCGTGTTTATTTGGTATACTTCAATCTCAACACTCATTTAATATGTAATATCTTATAACATAAACACTATATTTATAACCTAAATTAATAACATTATATAACCAAAATAATATCTTTGTTGTTGTTTGCTCGCGTATCMGATATACGACGATATGTATGCATTTACAGGTTTATAATATTGTATTTGTATACATATTAATAATATTTGTATTATATTAGATAGGTTGATATTTATCTTTATGTTATACGTTTAAAGAATCCTTAAAAAAAATTAAATACTACGAAAAACAAATACATTTTTAAAACTTCTAATATAAAACGGATGTGTTAACAATTAACATTTCGCAATTCATTCATAGTTTTTAAAATACAAGAAATTTAAAAACAACCATAAATAACTAATGTTGTAATCTCCATTAAATTTCAGAGAGATGAAATTGAGARTGAAATATATAATTATAAAATATATAGGCTACTATTATTCATTTAAAAAATTGATTACTTGCCAACTGGAAAATACCAATATATTTCGGTTCATTGAGAATTTATTGTTAAACAATTAAATCTAACGTACATTTTAATCTTTGCTTTATATAGTTCGTTTATAATCAGATTTATTATAATTATTGCAAGTTGAATATTGATTGAAATTGGAAACTTATTTTATCTAACTCGTTTAAAATACTTATTTTACTAATTTTTTTTCTTGTACCTATTAAATATTAATTTCAATTATAAAATTCTTTATTTTGATCTTTGTAGTGTAATTATTTACTTAATTTGATACTGTAATGTAATATTTATATGAACGATGATATTAAAATAAATAAATGAAATAGATTTGAAACAGTATATAGAATATTATATTATAATATTTATTATTAATTGAGTTCATTGAATTACTATATTATATTTGATATTACACAAAACTATTGATTAAAATATACATAACCTGCATTTTCATAATTATTATCATGGTTATTGAAGCAAAAAAAAATGTATGTTACATATTATATTGGTTTGAACTATCATTAGATACTATTATTTATGCGTAAGATTATAACAATATTTAAATACTTGTTATTAAATTTTACTTTTTGAAACACTAATGATTTACAAAAAAAAAAATTGATTTTAAAGAAATTTACATGAATTTTATTTGTTAAATTATCACTATAATTTGTTAATTACAAATCACATAATCCTTTAAGGTGTTTATCAAAGAATTTAAATAAACAGAAGGTAATTAAGATTTCATCAAGTTAAATAYGACTAGTTAACATATTAAATTATAGCAAGCTACTACATAAACGCACCTATAAAGAAGAGTAACATTATATTATGGACAATGATCCACTTGACGTGAATGTTTAGCAAAGTCATCACGAACATAACTTTTTGACACTGATTAATAACGTACTATTGTAATTATAATAGACGATTCATTTGATGTATTGTTTTCTTATCGATTTCTCACTATAGATTAWAATAAATACTATCCATTGGATATCTAATTAAAAAGTACCTAGTACTTACATAATATTAGGTAGGTATTCATTTATGTACAATATTATAATATTATGTCCTCGAATTTATATATTGTGTTCATTTTAATGGTACATTATATTTTATCTTTTATTAACTCGTCATAATATCTGTGATCTATCATGTGTTTTGAATTCGAACTGTACCTTATACTAGTTATTCAAAATGAATAGGTAAAACATTATYATTAATTATTTTTAGTTTTAATTACATTCAATACTTATCACACACCCATTATATTTATTTAAATATAAATAAAGTAATCAATTTTCATTAATCTATAGACCCTATAATCTAATAATAAATAAATAATAATAATAATAATATAGTTTAATAGTTATAACTATTGGCAGAATAAATTATTTGAAGAACGTTTGCTTAATAAAATATTTAGCGTGTATATTCCAATGATAAATATAGTTATTTAGTATTTTAATTCTGACTAAATAAGTTTGTCCACCTAAGTTTTGTCTAAATAATATTAAATTATGCATAAGTAAATGTTTTATTTATTTGTATTGTATTTGGCCTAACTACTCAGCATTAGTTAATAACCTAAAAAACCTTCATTTTAGAAATGATCACTTGCTCAAAGTTAAATGTCTTTGTAAATGTGTTGTGAAAACGAATACCCAGGTATAGCTTTCGTTCACATGCATTAAAACTCGATGATTGCAATAATCATAAACTATTAACTAATAAGTAATAATATATACAGCGATAATTAGTATTTCATAAAATATAATATAGGTAGTACACGAGATGATAATATTAAATATATTGTATAGGTTATATGTATATTATAATTTATTATAGTACAAAATGTTAAGTAGCATATAGGTTTAGGTTATATTTTGGTTATATGACACTGTATATTACTTGAAAATGTCGTGTTTATTGTCGAATTACGCTGTACTTGTACCTACTCGTATAACATAGTGCAACCAAAAATTATACATCTGTTAGTTTGTTCGAATAAAAAATAATTATATAACACTGTTATATTATTATAAGTTGAAAATACAGGAATTAAGTAACGTGTAGAGTAATTATATGTTTACTAATGTATGTAGAAACATTGTGCACATAGTGAAGTGTATGCAGAACAGTGGAAAGAAGAGTATACAGGACTAAGGACTAATAATAGTCTTTAAATATTATCATTTGTAATAATATTGTTATTATAAATGGATAGAGTGTCGAAGGGGTAGAATCTTAAATGTGTTTGTGGATATGAATAACAGTAGTTATTTTCTTCTTTGTTGAGTCACTTAGTTATAAGTGTACAACTTTGATCGGGCAGAGATTTAAAGAATTGAACAACCTCATAATATTGTGTGTATGAATAACGCACAAAGAGCATATTTTACGAGGATTCATTGGTATTTTATAATATTGTGTATTCATTGGTGTTGTGGTGCTCATAAACATATTTTAATGCATAGCTTGTCGGGCTTGGGAATAATAATAACAAAACAACTGTTAAGGTCATCGATTAATCTTGCGCTTATTTACCAGCACTCAGTAGCTGTTTAACACAATACCCAAACGAAGGTATTTGGATAAATCCTAGGAATAATTTATCGACAGCACTGTTGTAAAAAATTATGAGACACAATGGAATTTTATTTTTTGTAGGTGATGTCGCAAAGTTGACAGTTAGAGTGGACCAAAATCAGCTTATTAGTCAAATTCTCGCTCAAAATACTCAAATTTGAACTTTCCGTTAACAAATAAATTAAAAATACGATTTGTTATACGAATATGTTTATCAATACATAATCATTATTTGCATAGTAAGCATATGGCTTTTTAACAGTTCACAAATAAAAGTCGTCTTCTATACTTAATATTGAAATATTTCAAATATATCTTGATAGATAATTAATCATCATTAAACTTATAGATATAGGTAGGAGGTATTAAGGTAGGTGCAATATATAATATATCATGAATACTTTTCACTCGCTTTTCATTTAGTCAATATTACATATTATAATTTATACAATGTACAATTTGTACAATGTACATACAATTGAAAATAGAGATAATTGTAATTGCGTTTTGTAAAAGCTGTGTAGAACATATAATAATTTAACTAAAACTAAATTTAAACAGTAAGTTTACTGTAGATAGCTTATGTTTACATATTCCTTATATAAATTGTAATCAAAAGTTTATGTTTCAAATTAAAATCCAGAGTTCTCTTAAATTTTCTCGACATATTAGCAGTCTTATTATATTCCTATAATTTTATCTGAATACAATCATAATAACTGTTTTAATAATTAAATTATATATTTTCATACCATTTTCTCTAAAATTGATTATCTACTTAAATAAACGCATACAATTCATAATACATATAATATAATTATTACTGTTATAGGCACATACCTATGTCGGTATGTTTGATGATGTACACCGGACATAGTTTTTACATACAAAAATGGGTTAATAGTTACATTTTATGCTCTTCATTTCAGAATAATAAATTTATAATACATTGTATAAAATTGTATGAATGAATTATTCAAATATGTATTGTATTATTGTATATAATTTAATATATTAATTAATTAGCTATAAAATGGTTGTTGAAAATTATTATTATKATGTAAATTCTTTTATATTGCTTTTAAACAGTTTAAACTTAAAACCAATTAATGTTCTTTTATTCAACTTAGTAAATGTATTATGTTACAATGTTACTAAATATTGAAACATGGTTTTCATTAATATGGGCCACTAGTATAATATAATTAATACCGTAAAAAATTGTTCAAAATATGAGATAATAGAATACATTATAAAAGTTTGTTGTTTAAATATTATTACTGAGAAATAATTAATTCCAAAACTGTTCATTGTCAAATATAATAATAATAATTAAAAAAATGTTAAATTATTAACCCATYTACTCAGAATATCAAATATTCAGATTAAAGAATTTTCAATTAAAAAAACATATGTATTTATTGTTGTATTAATTTTGGTATTTATATGTCTCTATCAAATATATATATTATATATAATATATATATATATATATATTTAAATATTAAAATCTTAATTTCCTATAAATTTACAAATACGTATGTTTAAATAATACTTCAAGATATGTATT